ATACAAGACTATGCCTTGCATGCACCTTGTGCAAAGCGCCCTTGGCCAGGATGCTTGCGGGGCACTAAAAGGTGCTGCCGCATCAGATGTGGAGCGTTTCGCTACCGCCATGCCTTGCAAGGCGCATGAGACGCAATGAGGCTTGCACCTCTGAAAAATGTCCAACAAAACTTCTTTTTTTTTCAAATCATTTTAAACTGTTTGATAGGATTCATAGTAGGGAGTGCATGGAAGCAACCATGACAAATCAAAACAACTATCATGTACGAGAAACAGACAATACAACTCAACATATTAAACACAAAATATATGCATTACATGTTCCTCTAACCATTACACAAAAACTCCAAAAGTTATGGTGATGGTTGAGATTTATATTTTTATATTCTAAAATGTCACAGCTGGTTGAATGCCCTTTTTATGGGCCAAGACTTGGACTCACATAGCGGTATCAATTTTAGAAAATTCGATTTAAATCCGTGGCCGGTGGGATTTGGACCTGGGTTGCTTTGATACCATCTTAAATTAAGTCTCTCTATCCATTACACAAAAACTCCAAAGTTATGCTAAGGATCAAAGATTATAATTTTATATTAATTTTAACATGTAAAATAATATGGTCCATTCCTCGAAAAAATTGAACATTTACAAAGAACTTCTTTACCACAAACATATATGAGTATACCAACCAGGTGATTGTCAAACAGAGAAATATTCAAAACAAAGAAGCAATTAGTTAGAAACACTACATACCTGTGTCTGAACATCATCTCCAGTGACAATGTTTCCAACAGTACGAAGAGCAGGGATAAGCACTGAAGGTGAAGGATGGCTGCACACAAACATTCAAACAAAATATATTACAGTAGTTCAAACTAGAGAGCACCACCGGGTAAGCAAGAAGAAAGAAACATAAGATTATACATACAGAAGAAGCTCCACAAGCCGAGGGCAAACACCAGCTTCAATAACAGCTTGGATTTTATCATTTGTGCCATCAGATAAGTATGACAAAGCCCAACAAGCATCAGTGAGAACTTCCTCATCATTTGAATTGATGAGACGCTCTAGAGCAGGAAGAGCAGGTTTTGTCTATTCCCAATAACACCAAAAGGCAAGCTTTAATTTAGGATTAAAGTCACAGGAAAAGTATATAAACATAAAAGACACAAAACATGCAGTACACCTGCTCAAAAGGCGGTTGAGGCTTTCCTCTGCAGAAGTTTGATAACGTCCAGGTGGCATTCCGCAACATGGAAAGCTTAGCATGCTCATTCAACTGAGCCAGTAATGGCATCAATGCACCACTAGCAAGAACAAGGTCTCGACATTTTGGGGAATCACCAGCAACATTGCCCAAAGCCCAGACAGCCTATGTAACGATAGTATAAAGTTAATTGAGCATTAAAATGTTGAATATGAGATGATGATAACATGTGAATGAGCAACATGAAGAATTCTAAGCATTAAGTGAATCTTATACTCCAAAGAGAAAAGTATAAGCTTAACAGTTTTTATTTTAAAAAGTTTTAATGATATGTAAAACAAATATATAAACAAATGCACATTGTAAATAGACTTATAAAAATATTCGAATTTTATGTAACAATGTTACAATTTTTATCATGTGAAGAGGGGCATTCCATAAGCTGCAAAATAAAAATATGGATCAGGTCCTGTTTAAAATTTATTAACTCTTAGAGGAATCTGATTTCTTCCTGAGTGGGTTAATGTGCAAAAGATTTTATTGAATAAAGTTATCAGAAGTGTTCAAAAAACATAGAATTTTTTAATAAATGTGTGCTCTAATTTTTGATAAATTTTCTTAATAATAGTTTCACTTTTTGTCCTTTCTCTTTTTCCTTATTAAATCTTTCTTTGCCCCCTCACCAATAACTATTACTATGATGTCCCATTTTGGTTCATGTAAAAAATTATTTAAATCAAGAATATCTTAAGACAGTGATAAGCTTAACCTACATGGAAAGTCAATAACTTCAATAGTAAGTAAACAATGTAACCTAAACTTCTCTTCTCTGCAAACACAATATTCCAACAGAGTCCTTTTATATTCACACATTGAAAATATTATTTTTCCTAAAATTCTAAGAAACAAAACTTGAAAGAAAAAACCTATATGAAGAGGAGTAAGTCCTTTTCTTTTCTTTTCTTTTCTTTTTCCCTTTCTGAAGAGGAGTAAAACATAAAATGCTTTGTAGTCTAGAGCTTTTATGCACATTTAGGACACTTATCACGACAAATTTTGGCATTGTCCATCCGACATAGCTAGACAAGACATCAATACCCATCTGTGTCTAACATTTAGGAGTTTGTCAACCTTGATCACAAAATTACTCAGAAAAGGGAGTATGTTGAGCTCCTTCTAATGAGAACTTATTTTTTTGTCCATCAATTTATTAAAATTAGGTACTTGCATAAATGAATAGCAAAAAAAGCAACATATTTATATTCAGCCAAATATTTATACAAACGGAATCTGATTCATGTCTATATTTTGGATAATCGTCATTTTTGACGCCTTGTAGCCTTCTAGTGAGGTTGAAGCACGAAAATCTTGTGTGTGTCCATTAGCCATACAAAATAACACGACTCTGCCCTAAGTGCTTGAATCAAACTCATAATGAGATTTCAAAAACATTCATGATACAGTATGCTCAATGAATTTTCCACTCGGATATATCTCCAACTCGTAGTTTCACTTTGGAAGTAGGGAGAAATGAAAATTCTGATGAGCATTAATTTCCTCCTAAAGTTTTTCAAATATTCCTATTCTTCAAAACAAATGGTACAATCAAAATAACATTATTATTTACATAATTCCAACAAAAACACCTACCTGTTCTCTAACATCATCACTCGGCGAAGCAAGAAGCCTAACAAAGATAGGCACAGCACCATGATCAATCACAACCTTAGTGTTCTCGGAAGTCCCCGAAGCAATATTAGTAAGAGCCCAAGCCGCTTCGAACTGCTCAAACACAAGTCAGATACCCTTTAACCATTTCACAAAGTGAAAAACCAATAGGCAGACTATATAAACAAAGTGAAAAACCCTCTCACCTGTAATTGAGGAAAATCCTCTCTGACAAGGAACTCCACAAACCGGGGAACAACACCAGAATGGATAACCTCCTCGATTGGGGGACATCTCTCTGACAAATACCGTAAGTTAGCCCTTGTTAAATAACCCACTAATCCGTAAGCACTATTTGCCTTTCAAATTTAATAATTGTCTGGGTGAATTCAATTCACTACACCAAATAATCCCCAAAAATTTTGTTTCTCCTTAAAGTATTATCTACCTTTTAACTACCCACTAAGCCATAATCATTATATAGTTACCCACCAAGCCAACAATTCGTTCTCTCTTTTTCTTTTTCTTTTTTTCTACTCCCCAATAAACATTAGATCTTCCTTCAGTTTCTCAACCAAAAGCACAAAAGTAAAATAGTGAGAGAAAAAACATTACAAAATCAATAAGTAATCTCAGTACCTATAGATAGCAATTTCCTGAATTGTGTTGTAGCTTCAAGCTGTGAATTCTTATCGTCTGAATACACGCCGGCCACCAACGCCGGCAAACTCTCCAGCTAAAACAGCAAAAAATGAATCAAAACCCTAGCCCTAGATCCACCAAAAAATAAATAAAAATAAAAATAAGCAAAACTGAGGTGAAATCAACTACCCTCTTTTCTACTGTAGGAGCGGGGGTCGAAGAGGGAAAGGCTTGCGATTGCATCCCCTCTCGCCTCTTCTTCAAGAGATTCTCCTCCCTCTTGTTCTTCCGGATCTCGACCATGTTGTCCTCTCTCCGCCGCCGCCCCTCGTCGGCGTCGACAGCCACCTTGTACTTGTTCCGGCGAACCTCCGCCCTCTCGCTCGGCCTCAACGACATGGCGGTAGATTTCGAGTTCGGAAGCGCGAAACCCTAGAAATCGAAGGATAGAGAGAGACAGGGAGAGAGAGAGAAGAAGAAACCCTAGAATTCGAAAAGGGGGAAAGAGAGAGAAATTGATTTGAAAACCATGGGGATCGAAATAGTGTGAGCAGTTGAATGGGCGCGGGGGAATGGGCTAATAATGGGCCGCAGTAGCCTGCCTCCAGATTGGGCGGAACAAGTGAAGGAAAATTTTCAAGACCATCCTGAACTATTTACAAACGCGTGCAGATTTCGTCATAAATTTATTTAAATGGAGAAAATATGCTGAAGTTTCAAATATAAAATAATAAATACACTTTATTCCAAAATTTTAGAGTCACCTACACAAATCTTATTTTCCCATTTAGTTTTGTTAAGAGTATCATGCACCATTAACTTACGATATTATCATTCTTTTTAACCTGTTCACGTGACAATTTTCATCAGTTTATTTTTTTTATTTATCAATTTATGCTTAATTTCAAGATTATTCTCGAAAATTCACATCGATAATCTTACCGTCTCGGCGAATGACTGGTCAAAGAAACTAACACGCTCATAGACATTTATGGGGGTGTTTGTTTCAAAAAAAAAATTGTCATTTGGGTAGGATTTCAAATTCTAGGATCAAAAAGTGGGTTTTTTTGGGTTTTAGGATTCTATAAAACTTGTTTGTTTCAAAACAAATTTTAGAATATCAAATCCCCAAATAAAAAAAAATATTATATATAAGGATTTGTGAAATCCTGTTTTTTTGGTGGGATGTCGGGTGGATTTCGAAAGTGTTAGACAAATTAAGGATTTCAAATTCTAAAAAGTTTGAAACAATCAAAAATATTACAAATTATAGTATTTCAAATCTCAAAATATTGTTGAAACAAACAAAGTTTTAGGAATCCTAACTCATAACAAATTACCTATGGATTTTAAATCCCATGATAAAATCAATATCCTAAAATTATAGGATTTGAAACAAACAACCCCTGTTGTCAATACGTGTTATTTATATTTTTCTTATTTAGCTCAATTTGCAGCTTAATTTCATAAAACAGTACAACTTTTACACGCGGAAGGGCTCGCCTACATACATCAACAACCTATTACAGAGAGTTGGCAAAGTGAATAAGAATAAAAAAATAAAATAAAATAAAATAAAATAAAATGACGCCTCTCTTTTCAGAATAGAAAGCCTTTTTGCACATGGTCATTATTATTAATACAACCAATGAAATGTTAATTAATTAACCCACTGATTACTGCCCCCCTGATGGTATCAAGTTCTTAATGACGGGGACCCCGGTGCTCATGGGCCAAGCCGGGTCCTCAAAGAACTTCTCCACCGTGACCTCCGCCTGGTCCAGCCCCAGCTCCTTCACCCCCTGCCACTTCACCCTGTTGTTGTCCTTGTTCGAGCCGCGCGCCCGCGTTGTCGATCTCCGCGTAGAAGCACGTGTGCGGAGGAGGCCGGCTCCCCGGCCCACTCCAGCCACCCGTCGGGTGTATGACGGTGTCGATGTCCGACTGCAGGTACACGGTCATGGCGTACGGCTTCCGACGCCGCCGCGAGGTACGACGGGTTCCTCTGGATGTTCGTGGACGAGCAGCGGGTCGGCGGTGATGGTGCAGTTGTGCAGATGTAAGTTGTGTCTTGGATATCTGCTCCTTGCTGCCGTGGGCGGTGACGAAGCATGTTCTGCATGGCTTCTCCATCGGCAGCCTGACGACCATCTGGCAGTTCTGGAAGATGGCGAAGGCGGTCGCCGGACAGATGAAGTCGACCGTTGCCGGAGATCTTGGCAGTCGCGGTAGAACTGCCGCTTGGTGTGGCGTAGATGCGTGTCCTGGTACCACAGGTCGAGTGGCAGTTGAAGAGACGGAAGCGGTCGGACTGCGGTCGCGGTAAGGCGACCGCCTGGTGCACCTGCGCCGATCCGCGTGTTTGCTTCGAACACGCCGATGTCCTTTTGGCACATTGAAGTCGTCAGCCATCACGGCCTGCACGAAACACAACTACGGTGAGGTTTCGCGGTATCAGTTAGAGCAACACGTCAGTACAGAGAACGCACGCGTACGGTTACTTACTGAAGGTCGCGGTCCTGGATGTACTCATCTTGCCCCCCATCTGCACGTTCAAATTGCCGGTGATCCTAGTCTTGGTGGGCCCATCACCGACGAGCACCAGCATGTTCAGGGTCCGATCAACCTCAACGTGCTCGTTGTAAACCCCTTCCTTGATGTACATCACGACGTACTCCTTGTTCTTCCTGGGCATCGCGCCCAGCCCCTCCATGATCGTCCTGAACTGCTCGCTCCCATCCTGGGCCACTCTGACGGCGAACGGAGGCTTCGTCCATATCTCCCCCGTGCTCGCGGCAGGTCCGCCGGCGCACATGCCTCTCTTCTTCCCTCTAAGAGACCTACGCTCCTGTTGTCCGCCAGCGCCCCGAACATGTCCGACAGGTTGAAGTCCCCGGTGAACTTCTCGATCTCGCGCGATATCGCCATCGCGTTCCGGCCGATCTCCAGCGTCTTGTTGCGGCGTCTTTGAGCGCTTGGCCGCCTTGTTTGTCGTCGGCCAGGCCGTCCGAGCAGTCGTGCATAGTTTCGAAACTGCGCTGGTGACGACGGTGTTGATGTCCCAGGCGACGTGGCCATGTCGCGGGGGATAGCCCATGAAGCTGTCCAACCGCCGCTCGTAGTCCTTTATCGCGTTCTCGAAGCTGGCCTGGCAGTCTTCGAGGCGCGGCGTTCTTGGGTCCTTGGCGGCCTCCGCGAGGAGCCGGAGTGGTTGTAACTCCTCGCGGAGGTACTCTGATGGGACCTCGAGGCGACTTTGATGAGACTTTGTGTCGTGGCGTTGCCCGCTGCCTTTTGGAGAGCTCTTCCTCGGCAAGCTGTCGCGGAAGCGGCGGGCTGGCAGATCGGTCTGGATGGATTTACGGAGTGGAGGTGCCGCCGGAGGGAGGGGAGGGGGACTTGTCGTCGTCGGACTTGTTGTTGTTGACGACGAGGACGACGACGCATGCGACCACGGCGGCGAAAGGACGAGGGAGCCGGCGATGATGGAGATCTTGTTTTTGTTGTTGCGCATTGTGGAGGGGGGTGGGGGTGGGGTGGGGTGGGGGGTGGGGTGGGTGGTGGTAAGGAGAGGGGCGGGAAGGGGAGTTAAAAAGGGAGAAGGGAGTTGAAAGTGGGTGGATGAGAGGGAATTTTGGGCGAAGGATAGGGAGAGCCGAAGGATGTTGAAAATTTGAAGTTCGTTGACGAGAGTTTTTAGGGTAAGCTGTTTTTTTTTTCTTTTTTGGATCCGAAATGGATGGATATGCATGTGTCATGTCCAAAATCACTTAGTTTGGTCCGATGAATTTTGGGGGGACAAATTTTCTAAACCAACCTATTTGGACTTTTATTCCCAAAAAACGACCCCATTCAAAAATAATTGCAAAAACCGACCTGGTTTCAGCCTCAGTGTGGTTTCAGCCTCAGCGCTGAAACCAGGTCGGTTTTTGAAAAAAACTCTCCGAAACTTCACGGGAGTTGAACTCCCGTGAAGTTTTTTGAACTACGAAACTTCACGGGAGTTCAACTCCCGTGAAGTTTCGGAGAGTTTTTTTCAAAAACCGACCTGGTTTCAGCGCTGAGGCTGAAACCAGGTCGGTTTCTCTAAATAAATGTGAAACGGGTCTTTTTTTGGGAATAAAAGTCCAAATAGGTTGGTTTTGAAAATTTGTCCAATTTTGGGGTCTAAAGAGAAGCACTCTAATTATGATGAAGTGTTTTTTGTTTATGCATCATGAATATAGACATAATTTTCAATTATGGATGCAAATGTGTATCTTCTTCATTAATAGTTTAGGATCCATAAACAGTAAACTACAACTTACTAACCATATAAATATACTTAATACACACACTCAAACATTTATTATTACATCAAAACAAAGAGGGTAAATCAACAAGCATGAAGCCAGCTCATAGAGTAATTTACACCCACATCTTTATTCATAATCAACCTCAAACGCTAGTTTGAAAAAACAGCAGCAACATCTCTCGTCCCCATCTGATCTCTCTCTCTTAACTTCCACTCCATCATTATTTCATACTTACATAAACAGCATAAGCACACACTTATAGTTTCCATTATTATTATTAATTAGGCACTAGGATGTTCAACAAGATACTTCTCTACAGCCTTGAGTGAAGCTGCCAAGCCTTCTTGAGCCTTTTTCGCCTCGTCGGACTCTGCAACTCCGGGGAGAGTCTTGTAGGTCGTCTCGACCTTGACGGTGCATCCGCCGCTGGTTGGAACAAACTTCATGTGAGAACAGGCTGACTCGATCTTGGTGCCGATGTCGCCACCTTCGAGTAGGGTGTTCTTGCACTCGAGCTTGTTTTTGTCTATGGCGTCTAGGCGCTCCTTGACGTAGGAGAAGGGCATCGCTGCGTATTGGAAGAAATTAGCGCTGATTTTGAAAAACAATGCGTATGCTATCACAACACTCCGCATGCGAGTAAGCTGTTCTGATATGATTCATACTCTTTTTATGGGGGGAACTAATTTATTTATTTCTTCTGCTATAAAAATAAAAAGTATGATCAAACCTGAGGTGAAATTGATTTGCCTAATACTTCCAGGTCCACCCTGGCCTTCAACGGCCTTAACACTCTCCACTTTATCAGGCATAACCTTAGGAGCAAGATTATGCCAATCCATCACAAAAGCCTTGAACATTCTGTCAGCAGAGACTGATGTCTGAATCTCTTGACTAAAACTCTTAGAACCCATTTTATTTCTCTCCTTTTCTTTTAATTAACTCTTTTTTTTTTCTTGGATGGAAAATGAGAATGCATTGATGGGTATTTATAGTGTTTATATGGTCTCTTGCTTAGGTAACAATTTCAAAGATAGACAGCGGCGTATTTGATAAAATGTTGGGGTTATTCAATGGTGGTTTGTATTTTATTGCGTGATCTTATCTTCGTGATTTGTATATTTCTTGCATCTTTCATAACCCCCACCCCCCCCCCCACCCACCCACCCACCCACTTGGATTCTGTTGAAAGCTGCCAAGCGGTAAATTGAAGCTCGAGCAGTGGGACCTTGCTAAAGTCAGAGAAGTTTTGGGGGGTAATAAGGACACATTTGATGGGTAAGTTTAATATAAAGTTATATATTCACTCATTTATCCTGGATATTGATGTTGCACACACAAGCATCTAGATGTTACAATGAGTCAAAGATAAGATAGAAAATCTTATAGTCGGTTCTATTGATCTGTAAGTCTAAAAGATCATGACACGTTCTTCTGTTTTCCAACACGAATCTTAAAGTTAACAACAAGGCTGCTTTTTCGATTAGAAGAGATAATAGAATACAAAATTCTTTACAGTGGTGAACATGAGAAAAAAGCAATTAGCAAGTTTAGTTTCATAGCTTCATTGCCTGCCGTAAAAAATGCTCAACTGATATTACACTGTAACGCAGACGAAAAGTAAATCCACACCGCTACTTTAGTTTCATGCCTCTTAACTAATTTTCATCATCACTATCACTTTGAGACTCATTATCTTCCTCCCCATAAACTAACTCATCGATATCTTCATCTTCTTCTTCTTCATCATCACTTTTATCGGTATGATGCACATCTGGCATTTCCTGAACCAAGTTTTCTCCAGCCTTATCAATCTGAATGGAGGAAAAGGTTTACATATCAACTCCAAGTTATAATTATATAGAAGAATACATTATTCACTTGTATTAAGAGGAAGATTAAGAATAGTGTGAACCTGTGCCATGATGAGCTGAAGACAACCGGATAGATTCAATAAAGGTTGAATTGCCGCACATCTTAAGCTTGTCATCTGCAAAAACAGAGAATTAAGATTAGAGGTCATTTTTCTATTAAAAATAATCCACAAAACTACAATGAATTTTGGGGGTTTTATGCAAAACCCCATATACTTTATAAATTAGATAAAACTACCATGAACTTCCCTAATGTCAGAAAACATCAAATGTCCGATAAGCACATTTGTTCTGATCGATCAATTGTAGTATGATTGTCAAATAAGGAAAAGGGCAAAACGTCAAAATGAACTGGATTCATGGCACAGACTTTCTCAAGTAGCATAGATTAAATAGGAATGTATAGAAGATGGCCAGAAATACAACAAAAGGTGCTATATAACTCTACACACTCTATTGTTTTAAAGAAAAAGGTGGATGAACGCATAAAACTGTTTTAAAAACAATTACAACATTAATTCAAGATTGACCGAACCATACAAAACTTTTTAACTTATGAAATGGCATGAAAAAGGATACATCACCCCAGTAGCACTTATAGATTTCATAAGGAGGAAGAGCAGAAACCGAAGCAAAAAGAATGCAAGCGTAAGTTAGCTATCACATATCAGAGCGTCCCTAGAGAGCAAAAAATGATGCATCAACATGATATCCTGCAGTAAGTATAAGATTTGTACCTTATGCAAGCTATCAAGCAATTGCTTAGCAGACTCCTGAGATATGATGAATTGGCCGTGGATGACTAAAATATGATATATCCATGGAAAGACATGTTTTGAAGTAGCTGATCTGAAAAAGAAATATGTATTTAATCATCATCTTAAAGGTACTGAATCTACTGATTAATAATAATAACTAGCGACTACACATACATAAGGAAGCTGCAATACACTTCAGGTTTTTTTTCCCTTTTGGGTATTCGTCCCCCAAAAGGAACATAGTTTGAAACATGTCCCCAAAATATAACATTATAAAAGAAATTCCCTTTTATTATCCTCTCCTTAATGCAACAGCTTAACAAAGACATAAAACTAGATTTACCTTAACAAGAAAACAAGAAAAGGAAGAATTAAAGTAATATTAAAAATGTCCTATTTGTCATCCATATCCTACTCTAAATAAACAAAAATCACTTGAACACAGGAAAAGAACTCAGAAGTCTAAGGAAATGACTGAGAGAGAACAGGAGTCCAAAATATAAAAGACTAGTTAACCTGGGTATGAATAGTTTAGGGACCTAAATCAGAAATATGGCCTAGTTAATGCCAACATGACATACCAAACGTGTGCAATGTGCATCATAATCAACTGAAACCTAGCATCCTGACATCTTATTATCATCAGATCTCCAATACAAGAGGGAAAATATCAATAAAACAGTGATGGAAAATTTGTGATAAGATGTAGAAAAGTATAACTAAGAGTAAATTTATACATTCAGGTGTAGAAGGAAATTACTGACCGTGCTCTCCAGGCAGACAACAAGCTTTCCAACAACTTGTAGGCATCACTAGGGCTCATGGACAGGATATGGCTCCGTATCTGGTAGAAATAAAATAACATGTAGTAAATAATAGTTATTGACATTCATAGGATACTAGAAGTGGACTAACAGCAGCATTTTGTTAGCCAGGATAAAGTAGATCCAAAGAAAGAAACATATCAACTATTAAAAAATAAGTTGAGAAGAATTATTATGTTTGATTCTATTAGAGAAGCATGTAAAAGAATGTTATGTCACTGCTAATAACTGAGTAATATAGGCCTGGTGTTAACCGCTACATTGCCTTCAATGACCAAGTCAGTACTACAAAACTATATCAAACCTCTCATCTGACCACTTTCATATCATGGAACTATATCCAACCTCCCACTCACTGCATTATTCTTCAAAATAGCATAATATAATCTGTCAATTTGGCATTTGCTTTTCAGCTGTCGTTAAAGGCGACTCTCAAGATTTAAAACTTAGAACTTGTCATATATTAGCTACTAAGGGTAAGAAAAAACCTTCTTTGTTGGCATATTAAGATCAATTGAGAACTGGGCACCATCAGCCATAGCGGCACCAATAGAAGGATGAAGAAGATTCCTCTGATCACTTTTGACAGTAGGATAGTCTTTGGC